ACAACTAACTGTTCTATCTGACAAACATATTTATTTTATTTATATGAGTGACTTAAAGCAACTGAACTTATGACCGTCATCTAAGTCTATCCAGGAACATGAACATAGTTCTAAATATATGTTAAATCCCCACACGACGCAGTGAATTTTAATAAAAGCTGACCTTGATACATGCAGGCTCTGAGAGGAGCAGAATCCAAAAAGGAGCAAAGTTGCCAAAGGGAACGTCTCAAAATTCAGGTCTCGATTAATTGTTAACCTCCTACTTGCAAGTGGACAAGGATGTTCCTCAGCTCAGACGGCTCTTGCAGAACTGATTTTAGATGGGCTAAGTACACAATAAGTTGCCAAAAGACAATTTATTTATTTATTTTTTATCTGTAAAGAAGAAGCAACTGCAGAAACCAATGGAGGTAAACAAAAGGCTGATTTTCCAAATCATCCTGGTCTTATGTTTAATATTAGTTAGTATAGATTGTTTTCATTAAATTTGACCAACTGCAAACCCTACCTCCCGTTGTCCCACACCACCCTTTCAGATTCAACAGGCACAAAAACAAAACAAACAAAACAAAAAAATAATGCTTGACTAATGAAGGTTTGTTCAAGGTACAATATCATTTTTATTGTTTAATCATCCTCTGCTTGTGTGCTTGCCCCATATTACATGTGCAAAGTGCATGTTTTATTGCTTTTTAATATTCATATTGTTAAGGGTAAAAAGAACAATCATAATTATGATGCTATTTTCCTTTAATCAGTCTTTTTTATCACCCACCAGTTGTCTAAATAAACAGCAGCTGTGTTTCAAATAAAAGCAGGACATATTAATGAATAAACCGAATTTTAAATTGATGTTTACCTGAGAGATAACTGACTGAAAAAGCTGATCAAGTTCACCAGAAATACGTAGTTAATTAAATTCAATTAGAGAATACTCAGGATTTTACCTGATGTTCAAAAGGTACAAAGGTTTTATTGGTTCTGGTAAACTTAATTCACCTAAAATGGATCCTGAATCTTGCACTGGATCTGGAGATTAGGGTAAATAATTAAATGATGTTTAAAAATCACCAATAAGGCAAGCCATGCCTTCTGATCACTGCTGGGATCTGATTTAAAAGCCATAAAAATTGATTTTTAAATGACTCTGCTCTCACATTTATCAAAGCTGTAAATGTGGGAAAATAAATCAAATAGTGCTCGTGTGTAATAGCTAAGTGAGCTTAATAAAACTGGTCCATTCGAGGTCACATCAAACTCCTGTACGAGCATCTCCTGTCTTTGATGTAACTGATTTTTTTGTGAAAGCAACTCAAACTACTGAATATTGTGAAGTGGGAGAGAAAAAAAAGACTTCCACATCATAGTGGAATACATTTTTATTTAAACTGCTTAAGAAATAAAAATCTGAAAAGTGTGCCTTGCATTTGTATTAAGGCCCCTCTCTGTCCATTATTTCTAGAGACACGTTTTTCTTTAAAAGCCAGGCTGACTGCTTCTAAAATCTATTTCAATTCTTCTTAGAAAAACCACTTAAGTCAGCTAAGTAAGTTTGAATGAAGAGATTAGTTATGAAATCTTACAAAAGATTCTCAATCTGATTTCGATTTGGACTTTAACTGGGTCACATCACCAGATGAATATGGACTGATCTGTATCATTCCACTGAGAGGAAAGTGTAGGTTTGCAACTCAACCTGCATTCCAGTCTTAATTCTTCTGCAGCCAAATCTTCCTTAAATCATGATGATTCTACCACCTTGATATATGATAATAGATGATGCAGCATTTTTATGTCTACCAGGGATTTTTGACCACAGGTGATTCCATCTGAGCTATGGATCTTTCCTGCTCCTTCACAGTTCCACAGCTACCATTGGCATTACTGTATAACTGCCTTTTTCATTATGTCCTGGCTCCATGTTTAAATGTAAAGCCAAAGATGGACAGGTTTGCATTGGTACGCATATGTCTGCTTCTTTTTCAAGGGTGCACTTAATACAGATCTGTAGGATTTTATTTTTTAATGGTAAACTTGCTTCACTTCAAACCTTTTTCCAATTGTTACACCTGACCATTCTGCTCTGTTCATGATGTTGTTTGTTAACCAACGGTCTCAAAGGAACCTTTTCGCTATTCCAAATTAGGAAACTTTTATGTTATTTTGGGGTTTTAGAGTGAAGCTATCTTAAAGGAATAGTACACCCAAAACATGATTAGCCTTCATTTTCTACTCACCTCCATGCTGAACAACACTCTGGAGTACTTTTTTGATATCTCAAATGCATCTGGAGATCTGGGAGGCTTCTTGCTGTCTGCTGACATTCAAATAATGGAGGTCCATGGCGCCCGAGACAGAAAGGTCCATAAAAGTCCACAAAAACGTGTCAATATTCCTCCATACTGCTCGTCCAATGTAATCCAAGTGTCCTGAGTGGGTAGCATCCAGAATTTACTCGAAACGAAGTCATTTAGAATGTTTTTAGAGCATAAACAGTAGTGTATAGGATTTCCTAATAGCGCCCCCATGCGCGCTCACGATTCTACGGAAGCCGGCAGACCAAACCGGAAGGAAGTGCGCATTCAGCGTCTGGTCTGCCGATAATGCAAGCGTAGAAGAAGAAATGTGCTGTTTACCTGTGCAAAGAAAGAAACAACGAAAGAAAAATGTCTGAGGACTTCAGTGTTGAGGAAGAGCATGAGTTCTTTGCCGAGCTGAATGCGCTGGTTTGGTCTGCCGGCTTCCGTAGAATCGTGAGCGCGCATGGGGGCGCTATTAGGAAATCCTATACACTACTGTTTAGGCTCTAAAACGTTCTAAATGACTTCGTTTCGAGTAAATTCTGGATGCTACCCACTCAGGACACTTGGATTACATTGGACGAGCAGTATGGAGGAATATTGACAAGTTTTTGTGGACTTTTGTGGACCTTTCTGTCTCGGGCGCCATAGACCTCCATTATTTGAATGTCAGCAGACAGCAAGAAGTCTCCCAGATCTCCAGATGCATTTGAGATATCAAAAAAGTACTCCAGAGTGTTGTTCAGCATGGAGGTGAGTAGAAAATGAAGGCTAATCATGTTTTGGGTGTACTATTCCTTTAAACATGAGCAGGTCTAGACAAGGGCCAAAAGGGGACAGGGTCCCTGCAGAACTGGTCTCGGTCATTGGACTGAAGACAAGATGCTAAATCCGTTTTTAATTAATTCTTATGTATTTGTTTTTGTTTTTACTGCTTTACTTTAAAAATAAAATAAAAATATAAGTGTTGCCCTTTGAGCTCCAGGCATGTTGATTTGGAACCTCAGTGGCTCAAACATTGACCTGCAACTCCAGAGCACGAGTAGTTATTTTGTTCTTTGCAAAAGGAAGAAACAAACCAGATAAGGACCTGCAACAGGTTATTGTCCTATTGCAGATCCATAACCTGGGACCAATCTTTCTGACACTGGGCAGCACATTTCTCTCTAGAATCTCTTGATAGTCTTGAGATTTGACTGGATCCAGCAGATATTTAAAATCCCCTGTGCCAGATGGAGCAAAGCAGCTTTAGAACATAACAGAGCCTCCTCCATGTTTTTCCAGTAGGGAGAGTGTTCCTTTCTTGATATGCTTCCTTTTTTCACTTATGAAGATACAGTAGAGCTTATGAGGCACTGTAAAAGCTTTTCATTTTTGTCTCATCTGATCATAGGACATTCCCCCAAAAGTCTACAGGGCCTTGCTTGTCAACATTTAGTCTGGAAAATACCAATCTGGGTTTTTATGATTAATTTTTAACAATATAGCATCAATGGTAATCTGCCATTAAAGTTGAATCTCTATAACTTTTAAAACCATGCATAGTTTTCTTTCTGCTTTCCAATTATTGACTTCTATTCTGTCCTCGAAATACGAATCTTTGTACAGCTAGACAGATAGTTAACAACACTAAAGATTCCAGAAGTTATGCTGAGGATTCAAGTATTTTTTTGCTCTCTTTTCTTCCACAGTTTTCTTTCTTTCTATCTATCGAATCTGTAAGAAGACAAAGATCCGTCCATGTTCTGTATGAAACGGACTTTAATGTGCTTTCTGTTCAGATCGGTCCGACTACGAACTACGACTTAACATAGAAAAAGACGGAACAAACTGCACTAATGGACAAAGGTGTTTCTCAAACGTCAACTATAATGATGGGCAATTACTTACAGACAAATATTTGGTCATGCTCTGTATGAAACTTGACAGTTGTACGGTTTCATCTCAAATCAGTCCGTCCCTTAAATAGGTGCAACTAGGAACTACAACCCAACCTCATAGGGCGGAACAATTTCTGTGTTGGTATCACATAAAATCCACCCAAAAAATGCATTAGATTAAGGAGATGTCCCACACAAAAATAGGTAAAAGGTTTAGTGGTATGAACACTTGAAATGACATTGCATATCTGTTGTGAGCATAATATATAACTCGTTTTAGAATAATAGTGGCTGATTTGAGGTATTTATTTTCTACCCTCACATAATTAACTGGATTCTTATTGGATAATTAATTTTGTTAGAAGCGTCTATGACTCTGAATGTGTGTAGACAGATGTCTTTCCACGCAAAATACTTGAAGACTATTTCAGTTCACTAATACAATGGCTAGCAGCCTCAGTCAAGTGCATAATTAGCTGAATTAGATTAAATGACCAATTAAGAGACTAACAAAGTAAATAAGCCTAAGGGGATTCCAGTGAATGCGGGAGAATGGAATTAAAGTGGAATTAGATTATTGACAGGGAGAATGACAGCATGGTCGGACTAAACAGTTCTATTTCTGTCACAAATGTAGAGGTCGTGGAGGAAAATCTGAAAGCATTGGGTTTCAATGTGCAAAAACTGTAACATATTAAATAATGAACTCATACCAGCATGGTTCTGTTTCTGCACAGAAACAAATACTTTACTAGCCCATAAATACTTGCATTACTTTTTGAACCTCAACAAAGCTCAGATAAAAAGAAAACCATACCTTTGCTTGCACTTTCCACGTGCTCCAGTTCATCAGGAAACCCCAAAATCTCTGGGTGATTCTCTTCGCACTTCTCAGCCAGAAAATGGAGAAGTGTTGTGTTGTGGCTGATGGATTTAGTGTCTCTTAGCTGTAAAGAAAAGGGAAGAAAACATAGATTTATTGACAGTTTTTGTGTTTAAACATTTTAATCATTTAAAGCTTAATATTGCCCTTAATATTATTTTTTTCCTGAAAACATTATTAGCAATGAATAAGTTGAAATGTATCTACACCATAAACACAAAAACTGATTTAATAAATTTTTCAAGTTAGGCTTAAGGATTTCAGATTGGTGAAACGTCCTCAGGATTATAATTGAGTCATGCCAGAATAAACTCCACTAAAGCTCATTCATTCTGTTAACTTCAACTGTTAGCATCCAGTGGAGACAGAGTGAGAAAATCCTGCAAAGGAATATTTGAAGACTTTAAATATTTCAGACTTCACAGCATTAATGCTCAGATGGACAAATAAAAAAGGAATTATCACCAGTTGACTGTGTATGTTTATTTCCTCTTTGGGACACATTTTGTGCCAGTTTTATTTGAAAAATGTTAATGTTATAAACTTTCTCTGACACTGATGTAAGAATAGCGCTCCCTTTCAGAGTGACTGCTGTAAAATAGTAATCTCTGTCTAGGTAAACTACATTTATGTAGGTCATAAAAATGAAATGCTTCACACTAAACACATAAGAGAAAATGAGTATCCAAAAAACAGATTTAAAAGGACAGTTCTCCTTTTAAGTTGCCTTTGGAGGAGCTTGTTAAAACCCTAACTAGAGTTTTCGCCCTTCTTTACTTCTTTACTCCTCCTACTGCAGACCTAAGAAAACAGTAAGTCTGACTGGGCTGGTGTAGAAAGTAAGGTAAATTTACTAAAATATAACTTATCACAGATAAAATCCATAAAGTTCAACATAAAGACAATGGAAATATAAAAGATTAAAGGTAATACTGTTAAAATAACATGTTTAAAATCAACTCTCTGACCCAGAGTCACCATGTGACCAAAAGAAGGTATTTTGTTTTAGTAGACAAAGTTTCCTGCTGAGTTTTTTTTTTTGGAAACACCTCACGTAAATCAGATTTTGGTAACCAAGTGTGAAATAGCTAGGGTAAAATAAAAGTTTGATGAACAGTGAGTTCTGGGTTGCAGAGCCATAATGCACTTATAGAGTTAAAATACATCATGTATATGGATGTTCTTTGCACCCATCCATCTCTCTGTCTGTCAATAGGTTTAAAAGTTATGATCTAAGCACTTCTTAAGTAATAAAAGTAAAAATTTTATTTCAATACACACTATTAAAATTACTTTTTAAACTGTCACACAGTGTCTAGTGTCAACAAAGGTACAAAGATGGACACAAACTAAAATTTATCATAATTTTACTAATAATTTTTTTATTGCCAGGATTCTCTTAACTATCTAAAAAAATATATGCTATGGTTAGAAGCCTAATTGGAACATTAAACTGTTAAGCAATGATTTTAGCTACTATTTTGTGACTAATTTGTGATAATCTGAAATAAAAGCAATTATAAAGCATATTTTTTTTCAAAGATCAATTAGCTAAATAAGTTCCCTCTATCTTTGGGGCTTAAAAAAAAATCGATTCTGAAAAAGGTTAGTTATCCATTTCAGTAAAATGTCCACAACACAGCCGATTTTACAATCTGACACATTTCACTCCAACTGTACAAATGCTAATTAATATAGTAAGGAGGTTGTAAGAGACTAATACCAGAAGTGGGATTTTGCTTTTCTTAAAAAGGCCACTACCCGAGCAATCACAAGGATTATTTGTGTAATTTCTGAGGTTTACAATAAAAAATAAATAAAAATATCACAAAAGAAAACACTCTGCACTACTTTCTAACATCTCACACCCCTGAGAAGCTAAAAAGTCCACCACTGTATCAGCGCCATACCTGTGAGTGTGATTCTTCACATGCAGAAATCTTGTTTCAAATTCACTCCCCACCGTGACTGCAATGCAGTTCGAATGGCATGCTGGGAAAGCTAATTAGCACAACACTGCTCTGTGGGCTTGGGCTGATAATATCTGAGCAGTAAACAAGAGGCAGTTGAAAATGCCCACGTATAAGCATGCAGATACACGCGCAGATTCGCTAATTGGAACACATTTAGGTAATACTGAAACAATTACCGGCTACAGTATATTGTAATAGTAAAAAGATCTGACAATTTGTCCTAACTACCATCACATATTAAAAGACATTGAGTTATATTTCATGAAAATAAGTTCATCTTCCAACAACTCTCATTTCTGTGGAGAACAATGCATATCTCCCACACTGATTTCATCTCATAACTATCAGAAACAATTTGATTTATAAACATCCACAAACAGAATGCTTAGTGAGACAGCTGTAGAGGGGATCAACAGGTTCTAGCATATTGCCCCAAGCTTCACTGACTAAATGTGAATATCTGCACTCATGCAGAGCAGGAGAATGGGGATGCTGGGGTTTCATTAAGAGCACTGGGTGTACCTAGAAACCCAGTCGTTTCAGGTAATATGGCTGAACTAGAATTACTAGGTGAGACCTGAGAAATAGAGTCATTACTCAGAACAATTGATCTCTCTTATTTTTCCTGGCATCTATGCTACATTAAAAACGTATAAATTAATCTTACACAAATATAAATGAGGGTTTGATGCTTCAAAATCAAGTAAAGGATGGGGAATTTGTATGTTGAAAGAAAATTAAGATGATTTTATAGTTTAGATCATTATTAAATTCATAACATTAAATTCCATTTTTTAGTGGGAGCAATATCAAGTTTGATGTATATTATGTAGGTTTTGAAGGCGTCTAAAAGAGAAGGAATCAGTAAACAGCTAGAAATTCTTGTGTTTGTTCCAAACCTAAACTACCCTGAAATAAATGTCCATACGGGTTTGGTTCTTGACTAGGACACTAATACCTGAATATGATTCAATCTAATCTAATTCACTGTAGCTCCATCTTTATGTTTAGGATTGTTGTCCTTCAGGGAGCTTTCCTGCCACCCTAGTTTTAGTTTGATCTCTGCTTAATGTAAAATCAAATAAAGTGAAGCTCTAACCAGGAAATTAGCCTTATGTGATATTTCCTGAAACCATGCTCATAATGGTTTAAGTGTGTAATAAAAAAGTGCAGTCTCCACCTCACAATGTGTTCATATGTGGGGTAAAAAGTATATATTTTTTTATCTACCCAAAGCATCTTTTCCCAACGTACTGCAAATACTTAAACTATGGACGTTCCCCTCTAACTCTATGATTTATGTATTACTTTGTACAGGTCATCTATGTAACATTCTATAAAATACCCTTAAACCTATTACTGTATTGAATGAATAAATGAAAGAATATCACTAATAATCGGAATAGCAACATCAGAACAATAAATAAGCTTATCTGCAACAACTTTCTGAAAAGGAATCAAAGCTACATTATATAAATATGGTGCAAACATACTCTATATTTCAATGATATTTAGTAAAACTTGTTGATTAATAGAGCAAAAACATAAATAAATTGAAAAGTAAATAGAAAGATAAGGCTCTTAGGTATTTGACAATTTGCAACTAAGCTTTTTGCTGACACATTGGATGACACATACAAAAAATATGCTTTTATTTTTTTCTTCCAGGAACTGGAATAGACTTTATTGGCGACATGGTAACTAAAAAACCAAGTAAAAACACAGAAATACTTGTTTTAATCGTTTATCACAAATTGTTTAATTATTATGAAATTAACAATATTACTGCATGTAGCCCATTTTCCTCAGGCCACATAACTAAGAATGTGACAGAATTATAAAAAGTCAGAACAGTATGAATACTTTATGAGGACACTTTAGGAGTATGTACATGCACATCAAACAAACCATGGTGTCTTCATACTAATTGAAGGCTCCTAACTCAGCTTGTATACATATGCACTGAATGCAACTGGTTGCAATGGATTTTATTTAGGAGCGTGAGAGAGAATTGATATTAGTACAGATAAATACTAAATTGAAAGATTTTCAGTTGCAATTAATGTTGTAAACTTATGCTGCGTTCACACCGGACGCAGCAGGAGCAGCAAAATCGCTTCTGTTGCTTGCTTTTTGCTGCTTGTACCTGTTTAATTCGTGCGCGGCTGAAGCAGCTTTGCTGCTCTGGCTGCGCGGTGCAAAAGTGTGTCTGATGCGCGTTGGGCGGAGCTACTCTATCCTTTCTTTGCCTTTCAGCTATATTTGCTGTGATTAGTGGGAATAAAGTAGTTTTAATATGTTTTTAAGTGAGAAAATACACCTGAAAACTTAATCAGTGCAGTCAGTTCATCCAGATTACAATCCTGTCTTAAACGCTCCCGACGCGCTGCTTCAGCTGCTCAGACGCGCTGCGCCTGCTGCTCAAAACGCGCTGCGGGACCTTTTGCTGCGCCTTGACGCATGTCAACCATTGACTTTGCATGTAAACTCGCTGCTTCTGCTGCGCCTGCTGCGTCCGGTGTGAACGTAGCATAAGCGTCTGCCTCAGCACTGCAAACAATGAAATGTCAATAAGTCATTTTTTTCGTTATAATAAGTGCATTTTTTCTTGAAATGAGGAGGTAAGTGAGACACTATCCCAATGGAAGAAAATAATTACATTTTTCTGATTATCTTATTTCAAGAGTAAAAGTACTCATTCCATTGGCAAATCATCTTATTTACATGCTCAAATTAAAGGTAAATACACTAAATTTAAGAAATGTTTCACTTATTTCTAGATTATTTTTACAATGTAAGCCACGTTGATATATACCGTAATATCAAATTCAAATAGCATACAATAGAGTCAGCAGTTGTAATGACAAAGCAAATATGAAAAGTTTTAGTGGCATGAATAGTTTTGCATGTTAAATGCCATGGCTTTTTCTAAGGTGAGGATCTAGCCAAAGGTTATGTGTTGTAAGCACATGTTGTATAGCTACAATGCTGCAGTTGCAACATGTTTCCATTTAGGACCCTTTCTTGTGCTTTTTTTTTTAAATATGTTATTAAGTCAGAGATCCTAACCACTAGCAAGCATCATTTACTAACCTCATCCCCAGTAACTTACAATTTATCTTTGAAATACATTTTTTTTTTCATTCTTCCAGAAGATCAATAGAAAACGAGGGCTATAGCTTGTCAAATCTCATCATATTTTAATGGGAGAGTAGAGATATTGCATAAAAAAATCCAATTTCTAATAAATATTTTTAATGGACTCAACAGAAAAAAAACAATACCCAACGGTGGTTTTTTTTTTTTTTTTTTTTTCTTTTTAGCAACAAATTGTAACAGGGATATAATACAATTCTTCTCAGTATAAACAGCCCTGAGGTAAAATTATTCCATATTCCTCACTTGTAAATGCAACACATCTACTTGTAAGATCAGCTAGAAAGCTAAGCTATATTACAAGAAAACAATCTTGTCATTAACATATTTATCTCTAAGAAATATAAAGAAAAACAGATAAAGCCACAATTAATTAAAGACAAAGATATGATAAGAATGGAAAATCCTCCTATTAGCAGGATTCAATTTAACTCTTGATGCCAAAGCAGATAAAATATTTTAATTGCTTCTTATTTAGTCATACATTAGACTGAAAAAAGTAAAATCTATATAAGTGCAGTGTTTGCATAAAATTACAAATATTGCCTCATCAGTTCTAGAGCATATGTTACATCATGTGAGAACACATACATGTTCTTTAGTTATAAAGTGTACAGCAAGACCAGTAATTATAGCAGTTATTAACTGTAAACCTAACATAAGTATGTACAGTTGCCTGCATGTTACCCACGTAAATACTTAATACATCACTTTTGCTGAACTGAAACTGAACATAATTTTTTCTAAATGTAGTATCAATAATTTAACAGAGTTGATAAAGGAGTTCTAATTAACAAAAAAAAAATGGACATGGCCGTTGACTTCCTAAGATCTTTGATACAGTTCCTAATTTTCATTCAATGGTATTTTTACACAAATATATTCAGTGGGATATCAAATTAAGATCAATTTCCTAACTGAAATGAATATCTTACCAAAAATGATTATGTTTAATCTCTGGTTTTGGGACATACCTGTGCATAAATGATTTTATAATAACTAGGTTAAATGTCTGTATACCTCTTTGTTCAATTAGACGCTGCTCTATCCGTATCCTAGCACTACTGAGGCATTTTCAACAGTCAGAATGTCTCACATAGAGGATTTTCGCTTTAGTGCAAGTGTTTTTTAGCGACTGGAAGAGCTTCATTCCAGACATGATTCCGTGGGCATTCTTCCATGCCCATGAGCCCAGAGAGCTTATGAGAACAGGCTGGCTTTCAGGAAACTTTCCATTCCACACAAAACGAGAATTAAAGCATGGGGCTAAACAGTGAAGCAGAAGGTGGGTCAGAAGGGGCCCTTTCCCTCTGCATATTCCCATCATCAAGCTCCACGCTGATGAGTGCATTAGGTACCCTAGATCCGACACCCAGGGGGGGCATTTACTTGATTGACTAAAGTGAGAAAGCATACTTTTTCATTCTTGTCCATCAATAATGGCCCAATCAGCCCCCTGAGGCGTTTACCAGTTCTAAACTAAACACTGATTCACTCACCTCGCAAGAACACTACACTTTCTTCATCACAGAAAACCCTATCCTACATCATACACAAAGGCTTTAGAGCTAAAATGGAGAGAGGTAGTCTTTAAAACCCACCTATTGCTCTGTGATCTTTTTTTTTTCCCTCTTTATGTAAAGCAGCTGAAGTTTTTCCTTTATGTCATATCCAACTAGCCATCCAGTTCAAAATGAATGGTAAAACTAATCAGCTCCCATAATCTTGGAAACCAAACACATCTACTCCAAAATGCTAGAGGGGAAATGAGGCAGCCTTGGTGGAGAACAAGAGCTGAGTTGGTTTTGAGGAAAAAACAGACACTAATGCATTCTGTAGACAGAATCTAGCATAATTAAAAGTAAGAGGCATATACAGGTCAAGCTATGTTTAACAGTATCCATCCATCCATATATATATATATATCCGGGGCCGGGTCGCAAACACAGCAGTCTAAGCAAAGATGCCCAAACTTCCTGATCCATGCACACTTCCTCCAGCTGCTCTGTGGGGACCCCGAGGCAACACCAGGCCAGCTCAGAGGCATAGTCCCTCCAGCGTGTCATGGGCCTTCCATGAGGCCTCCTCCCAATGGGACATGCCTGGAACACCTCCCGAGGGAGGCGACCAGGAGGCATCCGGAACAGATGCCCGAGCCACCTCAGCTGGCTCATTTCGCCGTGGAGGAGCAACGACTTTACTCCGAGCTCCACCCGGGTAACTGAGCTCCTCACCCGATCTTGAAGGGTGCGCCCAGCCACCCTGCAAAGGAAACCTATATGTATTTGCGACCTTGTTCGGTCATTACCCAGATCTCATGACCATAGGTGAGGGCAGGGAGGTAGATCGATCGGTAAATCGAGAGCTTTGCCCCTCTACTCAGCTCACTCTTCACCACGACAGTCCGATACAGTGACCGCCTCACTGCCGACGCGGCACCGATCCGTCTATCAATCTCACGCTCCATCCGTCCATCACTCGTGAACAAAACCCAGAGAGTAGCCAGTTTAAATTGAACATTACTCACAGGTCCCTTAAAGAGCAAAAAATAAAACTGCTGTCAGTGAGTGCAAATGTAAGGGTGGCTTTTAAACCTCTGATATCCATCAACCTGCGCTCACAAAATCAGTCTGAAGAATCCATGCCAGTTCTATGCCCAAGTAGCTCTTGAATTCTTCCCATTTATATTACTACTCGCTTAACAAACTACTAAAGCTACTAATTCGGACCCCTTTCTGTGTTTTGTGAGTGCCTTACCTTGCAGAGGAAGCTGACGTTGAAACCAAACGTCTGCGCGTTCCTTGAGCCAGCATTCATGTAGTTGCCAACCAGCAACACAAACTCCAGGAGTTTGCTGAAGCCTTCGCTCTTCTTCACTTCTTCACAGGCGAATGTCACATTCATGATATCTGGCCTAATGTTGTTCACCTGCTCCTCGAACGTCAGCTTGAAAAGAATCCCGTTGAGACGTGACCGCAGCAGCTTTACTGAACTCATCTGTAAAGTTAGACAGAAATAGCGAAGGAAATTTTGTCTTTGTAAGAAAAAAATACCCAAGGATGTCTACAAAACGTAACAGATTATGACACATCGTTCCTTTGTGGGGTGAAACAAAAACCCATTGCATCACTTTTTGTGGTACATGCAAAAACCTAAATATACATACAGTACAACAATACAAAGTAGCATATAAAATAATCTTTGGTTTGTCTTTCAGAGGTCCAAAGCTCTGATGCAAAATAAGTGGTCACATAGAAAATGTACATATTTGACCTTAATGCCAAACACTAAAGGCCTGACCTTAAAATAATCCAAATAAGGAGCACTCAATTGCAAAGCAATAAAAAAAAAATGGGTGCAGCAGGTAAGCTTGATGAGGAGGATCTACAAAAATGAGATGTCCAACTAGCAAAATGTGCAAACCAATGTAATTCTGGCCAATTAAAATTGATTGATAGATTGATTGACTGACTGACTAATTGATTTTTGAATGACTGCGATTTCATAGTTACATCAGCTAAAATAGTCAAAGAAGAAAAATGTGCCAAAGCAAGGAAAGGTTTTTAAATAGTAGGATCATTATACAAGATACTGCCCTGGGTGTTTACATGGGTATTTATATAGATGGATATTTATGTTTATATATATATAGTCATGCACTGTGTGTCAAATATAGAGAAACAGGTTACTGCACAGGGTATCAAGTAGTAAATTGCATATTATATATTGCACAAGTTATTGCTGTTGTATTGTTGCATTGTAGAGTCTGGCTGCAGCAGGGATGAATGACTTGCAGTAGCGATCATTTTTACAAACAGGGTGTAAAATGAACAAATCGTGTGAAACTGACTTTTTTAGATTGATTGTTAAAGACAGATGAAGTTTTAAGCCATTGAGACGGTTTGAGATACCCAGTTGACATAGCTATCTGAAAAACTGATGTTTACTTTTCTATTTATTAATGCGATCAACAATCTCTGGACTACAAATTAACGAGAACAGAAAGTATTCCTTATGTTGATATCCCTTCTTACTATCTACTGTCTATAAAATTAGACTATTTAATGTAGAGCAGCAATGAGAAAATATAAGCATAATTTATCTATTAAATACAATGACGTATGATCTACCTCCCCTCTAGTTCCCTGCCCCCTCTAGGGCTCACATGAACAGACTAGCACCTTCAGCCCCACCTCACAACAACTGGTTTGTAAACAAGTGGAAATCACTTTGAAAGCGAGCTTGTTGGTGACAGCTTGGCTAAAGGAAAGCTAGAGCATCTCTTATTTCCCAAGGGAAGTAAGAATGCAGTGAGGAGCTGCTTCATCAGTAGCAGAAAGAGTAGGTGTGTGTGTATGTGTGTCTGTGTGGAGGGGGGGGGGTATTATGGTTGAGGGGTTGCAATTACAACAAAGGTGAGATCACAACGTAAAGTGCAGCCTCTTTCTTCATTACGTCTTCTAAAAACACAAGAAGAAAGCAAGAACAAGAAGCTGGAAGAAACTCGTCTCCACCCCTCAGGTCGGACTAAACATATGTTTTGTCAAAGCATACAGTAGGTACTTCTCTAATCCTACTGAGGAGGTAACTTCAAAGGTAATATCTGAGCCTTTCAGTGCTGGATAGTCATTTAGTAAATGGGTGGCAAGAGCTGTTAATTAAAAAGTAATTAAAGCTGTAACTATACGGAAAGGTCAGATCAGCTTGAAGACGTGCTTCCCTTTAAAGATTTCCATCATTCATATTATTAGACGACACCATTAACACAACAGTAATGTGTAAACATACAGTAGCAGTTACACAGGTATGAATGTTGTTCATTTGGCTTCTTTCTTCATTTGATTTAACATGTCTTTTTTCTTTAATGTAATGTTTGTACAACTGAACTGACATATAAACAAAACTCGGTGCACAGATTTAGATTTATTTTGAATTACTTTAGGTTTCTTTTTTTAACCCAGGCAAGTTTAAAATACATAACCATACATGCTTTACACAGTTCATAAAGCCCTCTGATATTTGCTTACATTTCCTTCAGCACTCTTGGCAGAATAATTAGAAACCGTGCAGTTTTCAACTTTATCCTTCAATTTAAAAAACAACTTTGATGTATGACTAGGTTAAATTACTACACCAGTTTAAACCATTGCACACAAACTGTCCTCCTCAGTGAGAGTTTGGTGGTCTTAGTATCAAAAAAACAACCCAAGAACCACCAGGATTTCAGCCTTTTTCAAGGTTCAAAATGCTAAATCCCCAGTGTTCAAAACTGTCCTCATGCTACCAAAAATATATGATTTATGGTTTAAAGAAAAGTTACTGCTAGGAAACTACCATTTTTTCTACAACATTTTCACTAATAAAAATGTACAAATATCTAACCAAAATTACACCAGAATTATATTATTTCTTACAAAATGTGGCCTTTGATTTGGTTTTAGCTGTTACAGTGATTCTTGATTACAAATTAGTTAGAGTGAATGTATATGTTTAAGCCTTTATTTATGATCAGGAAACATGTCACACTTTACCAGTTCTTTAAGCCTAGTCTTGAATATAAATAATTATAATGAATATACAGTACTTATTTCTCTATGGCTCCAGATTTTAAAAAATAAACCCAAATAGCACCAGATACAACACAAACTAAAAAAGGGCAAAGGAAAGATGAGACGAAAGGACGGAAAGAGGGACACGGTTTTATGCAAAAAAATATTTATACTATTTAATAGTATCATTGGAAGATAAAGTCAAATTAAGGTTGAGAATTTCATTTAATTATTTTTGTTGTTTTTTTTTTGTTGTTTTTTGTTTTGTTTTAATTTGTCCATAAAATAGTAAATCTGCGCGTCTAATCTGCCATTAGGGTATTAAAATATCTGACCAGCACCATATAACACTACCTATAGTTCACAAGAAAGTGTCTGAAAAACACTTGTTTTTAGTTGCACCCTTCTCATCATCATCATTCAAAAGTTCAAAACAATGTTAATTAGCAATAGATGTTTAATAAAGTGTTGCAGGCAGTATGCCAAAACATTAATCATTTTGTGTTTAAAAAAGATTTTACTAGTAAAGAAAAAAGGTAACTTTCTTGAGACCACATTACAAGTAGACAATATATTACTAAGAGCATTATTTACTATGCAACCTGAGACGATCGAACTTTTGGACGCTCATTGTAAATTGATAGGAGCATTGGGATACATCACCAGGCCGGTTGGCTACAGATGCCTGCTTTTCAAAGACCTTAAAACAAGCAGGATTCATAGCCTCAGGGTCTGATTTTATCATGAGATAACATTGACAGCTGATGTCAAAGAGCCACATCCAATTTCTTAATGCTGGACGCTCATCAAAGATGATTGAACTTCTCTTTTCTCAAGTCAAAAGGTCTTTTAACAAAAGCCTCTGTCATTTGAAGGCTGAGCTATCAACTCTGATTGCTACTTGGGAGTGTTTGAAGCTCCAAAAGAGCAAAATGCAAAAAAAATTTGATCCTGACTCCCTGGCCAAACCAAATGTAAGAAAAAAAAAGATGCAATGTTCAACTGGGCTTGTCTGAATGCGTTTGAGTATAAACTAGGAGTATGACTAGATACACAGTGTAAAAATCTACTCTGCAAGAGCTAATTATACTTACCACAATGCCGAACTGCTCTGACTCCACGAGCTCCTCATATTCACCTTTTAGTTCCGCTAGAGCACTCAGTTCTTTCTGCTCAGGCAAGTTCTTTATTAGGTTCTAAAATGAAAGAGCACACACAAAATACAAGAGTTAATGCAGTTCTCATTTTCTGCTTTAGTCTGTAAAAAAAAACAAAATGCTTGACAGCTTAGCTGAAAACAAAGAGCAAAAACCAAACCAAAGCCAGTGATGTGTTCATTCATTATTTCACCTAATTAAAACGAATTTTACATTAGTCTCCTGTAGAAAATGTATAAAGTTTTTAGAAAGTAAGAACATATGAGGTTGGAAATCATTACATAGAATAAAAAAAAAAAAATAACCCTGATGTAGTGGACAGAACCTTTAACACACAAAAACTACTTCCAAATCTTTATAAAATGTTTTTGCTGGAACTCAAATCAACCATGACCTCAAATCGAACATAAATGGCGTGTGTGACCCATGTTAGCAATAGGAAAATTGTGTATTCTATTCCAGCTTCCTCCTATCACGTTTAAATGCCTTGCCCCTGGGCAAGGCATTTAAACCCAAGTTGTCTGCTAATCTGTATATGCATTATGAATGTTGATTGCTCATTAGTGAGTGTGATTGGATACATTTGGCTATAGAGCTTTGAGCACAGTTACTAAGTCAGCCTTTTATCACCTGAAGAACATTTCAAGAATTAAAGGACATTCAAGCAAAACTCACTCTTTTGCTTGGACTCTTTATCTTTAGTAGAATTGACTACTGCAAGAGTGTAATCATTGGTTTGCATAAACAATCCGTCAGATAGCTGAAGCTGATCCAAAATCCTTCTGCCCATATTCTCATCAGAACTTAGAAAGTACAGTAGAGCACACCAGCCCGATTCTGAAGTCCCTCCACTGGCTCCCCGTAGATCAGAGAATAGAGTTTAAAATTATCTGTTAGTCTATAAGTCATTGAATGGTTCAGCACCTCAACACATAAAGATCTGTTGTAAGTGTATCAACCTCCCAGAAAACTTAGGTCTTCTAGTTGACCAGCTGTCTCACTATGTGGTGCAGAAGCTGCAGCGCCTCAGACTGGAAGAAAGTGATAAGAGTGTGAGAACAGCAGGGAGGATCATCAGGGCTTCACTCCCATCCATAAAAGATATTTCATCCCAGCGCATAGTGAACTGTTGCAAACTCTAATCAAGTCACAAATCGGACACTACATCACGCTGCAAACATCATACTTGTGCTACATGGTGAATCTTCCAAACAGAACTCAACTCAGTGTTTCTACAGCATTTTGCACCATATATATATATATATATATATATATATATATATATATATATATATATATATATATATATATATATATATTTATTTATTTATTTATTTATTTTTGCATTGCTTAGAACCTTCCGCATCAATGCCTTTTTGCACCATGTTTTGCACCATGTCTCCCACACTGTGTACATTTTATCACTGCTACACTTTATGAATTGAAATGTTCTTTTTCACTGCTAAGCTGCTGCTTATTCACTGTCGGAAAGATATATACTGTAAACTTAATTTCGACATAAATGACAATAAAGCTTGTCTAGGTCTAGTCTAAGTCTAGTTCCAGCCTACTCTCTGCACCCAGAACTAGAACCAAACATGGAGAAGCAGCATTAATTGCTATGCTACACTTATTTAGAACAAACTTCCAGAAGACTGTAAAAATGCTGAACGCCTTAGTTCTTTTAAGTCAAAGTTAAAAACCCATTTGTTTAGAACTGCATTCAACTGTTGAAGTTAGACAGTTAAATTAGGTATTATTATAAGGTTGCAGAGATGGCAAAAGTACTCACTTTCCGTACTTGAGTAAAAGTACAGATACTTGTGTTAAAAAATACTCTGGTAAAAGTGGAAGTACTGATTAAACTTCTTTACTCAAGTGAAAGTAACAAAGTACAGGCTTGTAAATTTACTTAAAGTATAAAAGTAAAAGTAGAAACCACTTTTTTAATGCCGTTGCCTACATTTTAAATGGATGTCTGCCAATAGGACTAGATCTCCGTTGTGTTCATTTTCAATCATCTCGTCGTCCATGCTACTATGCTAACGCCACCGCCACCAAGCTGCAATGATTTGCCGCGAATGAATACCGCCGAATCTGTCGATTCATCTTGTAGTGGTGCGTCAAATGCAACGTAGATTCCCATCCAATTAGACTGAATTTGGTATTGATGACATGAAAAATAATAACGGTAACTCCATTGAAATGATTCAAAACTAAAGTAACGAGCCAATTTTTTAAAATGTAAGGAGTAGAAAGTACAGATATTTGTGTAAAAATGTAAGGAGTAGAAGTAAAAAGTCGCCATAAAAATAAGTAGTAAAGTAAAGTAAAAATATCAGAAAAATCTACTTGAGTACAGTAACAAAGCATCTGTACTTCGTTACTTCCCATCTCTGTAAGGTTGTAATCCAACTGTTATTAGTGTTTTTGTTTATTTTTACTACCTGCTTTTATCATATATTTATATTTATTTGCTTTTATTCTGCTTTTGTTTTTCTGCTTGTACAATTCATGTAAAGCAATTTGTACTGAATTGTTCTCTATAAATAAACTTGCCTAGCCTTTACAAGCAAACAGCAGGTACAATAATCCAAAATGAATGTAAACTCCTGAACTAAGTCAATGTGCTGTATGTAAATCAGGGGTAACCAACGCAGTGCCTGCAGGCACTAATGGGTCCTTAAGGACCATATGGGGGCCTTCAGCATCTTCTAAAAAACAAAACAACTCAGCAGTGGACAAAGTTTTGAAATGTTTTATTCTGTTGCTCTTCTTTTTTTAACCATGTATAGAGCATTTGATCATAATATCCGTATATAGCATTCAAGCATTTATAGAGATTTCAAAATGACAATATCTAATACAAAATCAGAAATTCAAAGAAGCAATGAAAACAGATTTATCCTGGATAAAGTTTAGCTGCTGATAGGTCAGCCCATAGGTTAGTATTGTATCCCTTACTATATGTTTGACTTGATATGACTTAGTAGCTATAAAGTAGCTCTCAGCATTAAAAAGGTTGGTTGATGTAAATGAACACATTAAATAAAATATTAACTCTGATTGGTAGATCTGTGTGCAAGTTTTCCTTTATCAATACAGTATGAAAAATAAAGTGTTTCTCCTTTTAAAGAAAAAATATAATTTCTTGCTCATTTTATGTTTTTAATAAGTATAGTTTATCCAGCAGTATCAGTGTATACTGATTAATCCTTTAAACTTTTCTTTTTGAAACAAATCAAAGCAAACCTACAGACATTATCCACATTGGCTACCATGTAAACAAGTTACATTTTCCTGTTGTTATTCCAGTGATCAGAAAGAGTACCCTAAGGTAGGCCAATTGGTTATCTGAAAAGTCAGATTAGGTCACAAAATCAGAGCTGGTAATTGTTGCTTTATGACTCTGAACTGTTCCCAGAGCCAATTACTGAACATGTCGGAGACCTTCAGTTAGCCACCCTTCCACTGCATAATGCACATCACCATGTGATTGTCTATGAAAAGAAGCAACGGTTACACCATTAATTTGCTGGCATCTGATAAATGTTTTTATACAAGCACAATGAAATTAGCATGCAGTTGTTGGTGGTATTGTTGAAGATTAAGATAGAGATGAGGACGATAATGTGAGGGGATTCTTTTCAGTAAATGTTAATTGTTGGTATGAAGGTCAGCCAATTTAATAAAATTGACCACGGCAACTTTTCTCTCTGAGGTGAAGAAGAGAAAGAGGTGCCCTTTTCTAGGTCTTTGCTGAGCTTCCTTGCTCATTAGCTCCTCAAATTTAGTCAGCGGGAGGAGACTGGCACGGGACCATGTGTCAAGATAGGAACCCAGACAGACGGGAAAATGGAGAGTAAAAGCTGATGCTGGGCCACAGACTTAGCTGACCAAGTTATAGATCTCTATAGCCCTAACAGTCAGCACGACCATAGTCAACTTCCCACTAATGATGGCATCTCTGTTTTCCCCTCCGGGGATTCAGTGATATAAAAAGTAAGCCATACTGCAAGATATGCAACCTTATTTGGGATGCAGCCATTAAATCAAATGTTGCTTGCTTCTTTTCTAAAGCCCCAATTAAAGCTTGCAGGAACGTATGGTGCCTCAATAACAAAAGCTCTACTTTGTATCAACAGAAACAGCAATCATTGCAGCAGATAAAACAAATCTGAATAAAAGCTGTGAATATAAAATAATATAAACAAACTAAACGGTAATGACCTTCAACCTATTATCCAGTTTTAGTCATAATCACTGCTCAAATAGTTGGTTGGGTTTTTTTCTTTGTTTTCTTTTTTAGCTCTGGTATTTATAAGGGTTTTGTTTCATACACCAACTATAACTGGATCAACTTTTGTTAAAAGGGAAGAAAATCATACATGATTTTCAGTTCCTAAATTATATTCAGTGTAAATAGCGCAAGCTCATTGAAACTAGCGAAAGTTTTTTTTTAGTCAAGATTAGTTTTAAGTACTGTTGCATCTGTAGCGTATGTTCCACCTATCTTTTTATTGTTTTTTCAAAGATAAAGGGAAATCAGATCTTCCTCCATATCTAAGGAGGTTGTGGCAGAAAGGCATAGAAGGAATTTCTCACAAAAAATATAGGAAAATGGTTTGCTCAGCTATAATATCTTTAAGGATTGTTGGGGTGTAAATCACCCATCATGGCGATTCGATTCAGTGTCAATTTCCTGACCCAACGATTCTGTCTGTCCTGAATACTGTTTACGCGAGTCTGTGTGTGTGTGCAAGCGGAAAGAGGGTAATGGCTAAAGGAAGCGAGGAGGGCAAAATAGGTTTGGCGCCACCGCAGCATGGAAGTCAGAATTACAACCAGGAGAAAATGGATAAAAATAGACCGGAGGGGAAAAAAAAAAATAATAATAATAAAAAACATGAATCGATTATCTTGCGGACGTGTCAATGCATCAGATTGTCGGCTGTTGGGTCAATGCATTGATACAAAACGATTATTATTTACACCCCTAAAAGGTTGCATCTCAATTTTTGCACAATGCATGGAAGCTC